TTCTGTATGAATTTTTCAGGTACTAAGTTATATATAGTTATCTTGCTATCGTCTCTATCTAGCCTGGCACAGACCGTTCAAGATTGCACTGTTTAATTAGCACCAACACTAACAGTCATGGTGGCAGGGATGGATCCAGCATGATCTGGTAGAAGGGGGGGGGGGGTTGATCTGCCAGCTCTAATGCCGAGTTATGTTGGTCATGCATGCCACCCGCCCATCAACTTACAGGTCAAGTCTTGCTTGACTACTGTATTTGAATTGTAATTGTTGTTCACAGTTCGCTTCTTATCATGTTATCGATATCACTCAAATTACTGTATCTCATTTTGTCTCTAAAATATTTTTTTGCTTTATCATGAAAAATAGCACCCCCCCCCTGGCCAGGGCTAGGGAGGTGACCCCCCAGTAAATCCATCCCAACATACAGTTGGGTTTATAGGGGGAGGGGAGGGGGGTTGACGGAGGTAAACACCCTTGGCCAACAGGGGAGTGTAAAAATCGAAGGGGGGGGGGGTGCACTTCAAATTTAATTTACCAAAATTTATTTAAAGCCATTTGTTACAGCCTGTTACCATACATCTGAGCATTTGAGATATTGTATATAATTAGTATTACAAATATATTGCCACCTTGTAACCTTAGATATTTCATGTGGTATGTGTAATTGGGGTTAGTATACGCTAAGTATCTTACTTGTCAAGCAATGCCGGGTTCAGAGTCCTCACCTGTTCCCCTAGCAATCAACAATATACAATTTTAATGCCAAATTGTGTGCCAACATGCAAAATGGACTCTGCACAGGTTGTGCACTACCTTTTCATTTCATGCTGGGTGAACATTATCGTGAGGATACTCAGGATAGCAAAAAAAAACATATTCACAACTAATGTGTCCTCTTTTACTACTTTTGTAATTATCTTGTTCCATGACCTAAATAAGCTAACACACTTAGTAGCTCATGCTTACCTTTCAACTGGCACATTAGCAATGGCCGGCCCATTTTTCTTTATAGTGGTGTCAGGTGTGCAAGTTATTCAATACGGTACTAACCTTGTATACAGGGCGTTATAGAATTAAAAAAATCTGGGCAGTATGTTACAAGGCCATCGGAAGTAAATCAATATTGGGGGGACTCAAGAATATATCTGAATAAATTTTAATTGCTTTTGCACTTTTCTAGTTATTTTGTGTGTTTTGCTTATACAAATGGAAATTTTAGGGGGGGCTCAAGCTCCCCACTTCTGACGGCCTTGTGTTACATGTGACATTGCCAGCTGCCATTAATAGTTTGCAGAATTGTGAAAAATAAATCAATGCTGTAGATTGCAAGTGGTAATGCACTTTCTCCATTGGTATTATAGACATAATACACATAAAATTCCACAAGACCAATTAACTTGGTAATCCTGAGTATTCCATACTCATTGGGAAATCAGTCAGATGCAATTGTACCCACCCTCTGGTCAACCCTTGCCACTAGATGTTTCAGTACCTTTGCCCTGCATACCATGGTTTATGAACTCAACATTTTATGATTGAATTAGCTCTTCTACTATGATATTTTATGCTCAAGTAAATTGAAAGTTGTACAGCAAGCCGGCTGGAATAATGGTCAGATGTTCACTCCGCAGTGGCATAACTCCTAAGGGCTGTGCCTAACGGCAGCAATTACTGTAATAATTTATTAATTTAATAAAGCCAAGTTTTGGCGGCATTCCTAAACTCCTTTGCGCGTCGTGTCAGATCCTCGAACAAACAAGTAAGCAGTAAAGTAAAGAACCTCAAAAAATTTTGTGCAAGGCTGATATTCTATTATTCTGGAGGAAACACAGTGGGTTAGTTTTTATAGCGAATACTATTATCAATACTGTTGAATTGAAGCTCGATTTTTGATATACGACTGGCAGTACCACATCATTTTCAAAATACTAGGCCGTTTCAATTTTAATAAGCTTTTCACCTGTGTCTGTCACTATAAAATGTTTTTAACTACATATTATGAAAGCTTCAAATGCGTGTGCTTACATGCGCAGCAAGGCGAGACTTTTGAACTTTTGAAAATAGTTTTTGAATTTCCGTGGCATGACAAAAGTTTGTTGCGAACGTTTTCTCAGCGAATTTTCTACTAACCTGCAAATATAAATTCCACTAAAATGTAGGCATTTTCACAAGCTTTCAAAACATCCACGTTAGGGGGTATGTCGTTAAATTTCGAATTAATATAAGCGATTGAAACTCGTGCCTAAAATCAGACATAATATATATTCCGATTTTCGACCAGAATGTATATTCCGACGGCAATTTTTACACCCTCGTTTAGGCAACGAATTGTCGCTCAATAATCTAGCTATACCATGTCAATGTTATAGCTTGTACCAAAATGTAGCTGATTTCACCAGTTATCTGACAATATGCGTAAAATTATTGTACCTGTAATATTCGCACAGATATAGACGAATAAAAGTCATGTTATGTTGCATTAAACTTTCTAATTATAATTCTGGTTTCAAATTTTGTTTACATTGTGTGATTTTGACCCCGTCGTTTAGACAACGTTTTCTCGCTCAATATTGTAGAAAGTTTAATGCAACATAAACATGACTTTTATTCGTCTATATCTGTGCGAATATTACAGGTACAATAACTTTACGCATATTGTCAGATAACTGGTGAAATCAGCTACATTTTGGTACAAGCTATAACATTGTATAGCTAGAATATTGAGCGATAATTCGTTGCCTAAACGAGGGTGTAAAAATTGCCGTCGGAATATACATTCTAGTCGGAAATCGGAATATATATTATGTCTGGTTTTAGGCACGAGTTTCAACTTGGAGTTTCAATCGCTTATATTTAAAAATTGCCGTCGGAATATACATTCTAGTCGGAAATCGGAATATATATTATGTCTGGTTTTAGGCACGAGTTTCAATTTAATATAAGCGATTGAAACTCGTGCCTAAAACCAGACATAATATATATTCCGATTTCCGACTAGAATGTATATTCCGACGGCAATTTTTAAATATAAGCGATTGAAACTCGTGCCTAAAACCAGACATAATATATATTCCGATTTCCGACTAGAATGTATATTCCGACGGCAATTTTTACACCCTCGTTTAGGGCATGTAGTAAAACACTGACTACCGGAACACCGGAACACCACCGGAACACCGGAACACCACCATTTTGTTTGGGGTTAGGGTTAGGATTAGGGTTAGGGGTTAGGGTTGGGGTTAGGGTTAGGGTTAGGTGGTGTTCCGGTGGTGTTCCGGTGTTCCGGTAGTCAGTGTTTTACTACATGCCCTCGTTTAGGCAACGAATTATCGCTCAATATTCTAGCTATACAATGTTATAGCTTGTACCAAAATGTAGCTGATTTCACCAGCTATCTGACAATATGCGTAAAATTATTGTACCTGTAATATTCGCACAGATATAGACGAATAAAAGTCATGTTTATGTTGCATTAAACTCTCTAATTATGATATTAATAGGCCTATAATTAATATATATATATACTATTAATATAAGCGGTTGAAACTCGTGCCTAGAAGCAGACATAATATGTTCCAACTATTAACGACATTCACCGCTAACGCATATGGTTTGAATGCCTCTGAAAATGCCTAAATGCCTACATTTTAGCGGGAGCTATATTTCTGTAGCTACAATATTGAGCGAGAAAACGTTGTCTAAACGACGGGGTCAAAATCACACAATGTAAACAAAATTTGAAACCAGAATTATAATTAGAAAGTTTAATGCAACATAAACATGACTTTTATTCGTCTATATCTGTGCGAATATTACAGGTACAATAATTTTACGCATATTGTCAGATAACTGGTGAAATCAGCTACATTTTGGTTCAAGCTATAACATTGACATGGTATAGCTAGATTATTGAGCGACAATTCGTTGCCTAAACGAGGGTGTAAAAATTGCCGTCGGAATATACATTCTGGTCGAAAATCGGAATATATATTATGTCTGATTTTAGGCACGAGTTTCAATCGCTTATATTAATTCGAAATTTAACGACATACCCCCTAACGTGGATGTTTTGAAAGCTTGTGAAAATGCCTACATTTTAGTGGAATTTATATTTGCAGGTTAGTAGAAAATTCGCTGAGAAAACGTTCGCAACAAACTTTTGTCATGCCACGGAAATTCAAAAACTATTTTCAAAAGTTCAAAAGTCTCGCCTTGCTGCGCATGTAAGCACACGCATTTGAAGCTTTCATAATATGTAGTTAAAAACATTTTATAGTGACAGACGCAGGTGGAAAGCTTATTAAAATTGAAACGGCCTAGTATTTTGAAAATGATGTGGTACTGCCAGACGTATATAAAAAATCGAGCTTCAATTCAACAGTATTGATAATAGTATTCGCTATAAAAACTAACCCACTGTGTTTCCTCCAGAATAATAGAATATCAGCCTTGCACAAAATTTTTTGAGGTTCTTTACTTTACTGCTTACTTGTTTGTTCGAGGATCTGACACGACGCGCAAAGAAGTTTAGGAATCCCGCCAAAACTTGTCTTTATTAAATTAATAAATTATTACAGTAATTACAGTAATAATTCCGGGTTTTAAAGATTCCGGCTTTTCTCATTCCGTGTTTTAAAGATTCTTAAAGAAAACTTGCTCGTCTTTAACCGGCTTAATTGTCGCTTTGACAGAGCTATTTTTAAAACCATTGTTTATATGAACTTGCAACCAATCAAAATCTTTCATGATGCTGATCAACCAATCAGATTTCCCGTCCACCAGATGGATTTTAACCCAATATCCGTTCCGTTCCGCATTTTAACCCCATATCCGTTCCGTTCCGCATTTTAACCCCATATCCGTTCCGTTCTGCATTTCCGTTCCGTTCCGCATTTTAACCCCATATCCGTTCCGCATATCCGTTCCGTTCCGCATTTTAACCCCATATCCGTTCCGCATCCGTTCCGTTCCGCATCCGCTTCCGCGTTTTAACCTAACCCCTTTTCTCTGCTTATTCAGAACATAAACAATGTCTAAATGGCTGCGTTTTAACTCCAAAAAAGCAAGCAACGCCGTCAGTAATTGCCAAATTTGCCGGTGCTCATTTTCAACTAAAATCGGAACAGGCAAATTAAGACGAATTTCAACAGAAAACCAGTCTCAAACTTCAAATCGTGAGGGAAGTCGTGCGATACAACATCAGCATTTATAATATGACTGTGCTTCGCTGTCGCCATTGTTATAAATAAATTGTCTCACTTATCAGATCGTGTGTGCAATTCTTGTTGGCGGCGGAAAGTACGAAATTTATTTCAGTTATTTCATTTGGTGAGAACTCTACGAAAGAAGAGAGCGTTCAGAGTCCAGATCGTTTCGTTTCAAACGGCAATTTAATACCGTCTTCTGTTTTGCTCTTTCAGCGAAGCCTTGTAAATCGCAAAGTATTTTGAATAGGCTTACATGCAACTGCATCTCAACATCAACCAAAAGATAATTTTCTTGAGGAACATATAACGTATCAAGTCTGTTTGAAATTAATTAAACTTAAGTAAAGGTTACTATAGTTTACCCCAGTCGTATTAAATGTTGCTATTCCAACACCTCACGACAAGCAATCCTCATTGGCATAACGGCAAAAACATCTCTTCCTTCAAGTAAACAATAAACAGTCTGTTCTTGTTCCATTTGTAATCGAAAAAGTGATCAATTTTCGAATTTTAAGCTTATCGAGAGCCTTTGTGATGAACCACTGATCTAATTATATAATCCAATAGCAAACAGCCAATCAGAATGCCGCGTTCGTGGGCGAACGCGGAATGTACAAAATACCGGGCCTTGCTTGCAGGCCCACTATCAGTTCCCTTGGGCCTGCACGCGGGCTATCAATTTTCGAATTTTAAACTTATCGAGAGCCTTTGTGATGAACCACTGATCTAATTATAGAATCCAATAGCAAACAGCCAATCAGAATGCCGCGTTCGTGGGCGAACGCGGAAAGTACAAAATACCGGGCCTTGCTTGCAGGCCCACTATCAGTTCCCTTGGGCCTGCACGCGGGCTAGCTTCCAGCACAATACACAATACTTTTAAGGAAGGAACTCAAGAAACATTAATTAAATATTTATATTCCTCATTTGTAACATAGCATATAGATAGTCTCATATTTCATACCACCTACTTAAGTTTAGCGTCCTTTGTAGAATCATTTGTATACACCCGTCGAAGGCTATAGACTGATAGCCGAAAGCTCGTAGAAATAAATATTTAGTCAGAGAACGTTCAATAAATAAAATAACTTTACTTAAAGGCACAGTTCAGCCTGTTGAACGATGGTTTTTAAGGCGCAATTCAGCTCTTTTAATTGAAAAAACTAACTAGGAAAATCAATTAAGCATAATTCAAGATCACCAAACTCAATGTTTTTAACATTTTAAAACATCTTTATTGTTAAAACATCGAGTTTACTGATTTTGAATTATACTTAATTGATTTTCCTAGTTAGTTTTTTCAATTAAAAGGGCTGAAATGCGCCTTAAAAACCATCGTTCAACAGGCTGAACTGTGCCTTTAATTAAACTAAATCCCTCGGACGATTTTTGTCTAAACTGCTCCTCTAACGGTCCAGGAAGGCATATAACTTGATATAATCCATATGTTTTATCGCCATGCGAACCTACAAAGAACTGATATAACTTTCATTCATGCAACAATACATACATTTCTGGGGCCGGTTGTATCAAAGGCGTTTAACTCGCTAACCACCGTTTAAATCGCTATCCGCCGAATAAAATTCAAACGCTCTAGAAATCGCGTTGTATCAAGCCCGTTTAGCGCTATCCACCGGTTACATTTTGCTAAACGGTGGATAACTTTAAACGGTGACATTGAGACCGTTTAACTTACTATCCGGCGGATAAAATCAAAATTTGTGCCGTTCACTGTTGTAATATTTTTTTATAAAAATGGCGCTCTACAGAATACCTGGCATCCATTTGTACGATCTTCCAAGAGTACATAGACGTGCCGAGAGAATTTTCAGGCGTGAAATAGACGACGTGTTGCTTGCTGTACTATAGCGACGAAGAGTTACGCGGCGACGTTATCGCTTCGGTCGGCAAACTATTCGGTATGAATGAAAAGCAGGCACTCTGGATGAAAAGCAGGCACTATGCAGCGACTTTTTTTTGAGATGTTCTAAGTATAAAATATCCTTGAATATTTTTGCACGGATGCTTGAACATGGTTCGATCTTTGAATAATCGCAGTCTTAAGTAAAGTTTTATTTTGCGCAGGAAATATTTTTTCCTTGGAAAAAATGTGCAGAAATGTCAGATACTTTCACAGCAGTCAGAAAGTGTTTTTGTCAAATAGGAAGATCGGTTCTTGGTTCACAAAGGCATTTTGTGCGGATTCTTCAGAAATTCTTTGAAGTTTTTTTACAGTTTGAAATATTTTGCGCAGATTTCCATATTTGCAGGAATTTTTCCGCAGGAAATTAATTTCCTCCAAAGCCAAAACTTTACAGTCGGTATAGTCTTATAATTACTGACGGTCATAATAACCTATTGTTTTCTCTCTGCATTATATCAGCGAATGTCGAGAAGTTTTAGCGTTCTTCTGAAAAAGGGGAGCGGTCTTTTTTGATTGTAGGGAAATTCCCAGGGGTAAATGTTTATA